GGTTGGTAGGAGTTTTTTTGAAGATTAAAAGTTACGTCAAGAAAATGTTTAAATTTGCACGCAAAAAATTGACGTAAGTAATCAGAAACGGAAGTTTTAAATTTCCTTAAATAATTTCTTTAGTTATTAAATTAGAAAAAATTTTATCAATGATTCGAGCTGAGTGATCAGTAACTCTAGTCAGCAAAGTAACGAAAGGGTAAAAATAAGTTTAAAAAATCATTAAAAATGTTTAAACACTGTTTAAATTGGTTTGAATCACTATTTGAAATCCGATCTTTTTAAATATCTCAATTATATTTTTTCAGACTTTGTCTAACTGTGCGGTAATTTTTTTGCACACCACCAACAATCCGCCATCTCAGTAAAGACCTATATCATTTTTAGTAATGTTTTTGGATGGTTTTGGATAAAGATTTTAGTAATGGTTTTGGATAAAGAGTCTAGAATGTATAAACCCACCAGTTCGCATACTTCGGCTCCATCAAAACAACCCATTGTGATGTCAAAGCAATCATTATACGTCTTTTTTATCCATGTTTCCTTTTTAAAAAATAATAGCAATTTTCTGCAATGATTTATGACTCAAATTTTTTCACTGCTGATTTCAGTGTGCTGTTTTGCAAATATTAAAGCGCTGTTTAGTATGTCTTTTGTGATGGATGGGTAAAATTCATTGATGTCGAGTGTATAAATACACAGTGTTGCTTGTTGCTTATGTTTGTAAACCATTTGATTACTTCTGCGGTGTTTTTCCATTACAACAATACAACAAAATAATACTACAATAAAACAAAAAAATGTTTAATATGTTTATATGAAAAACTGATTATTTTGCTTTATAAAAATGCTGAAGAGCTACTCAATAAAAAAACAGAGTTGATCTTCAAGTGTCATCACGAAAATAAATTTCTATGGAGCAACCACAAACCTGAAGATTAGATTCACGCGGCCGTAACAATAAAAAAAGTTTTTTCCGTATAGGTTTTTTCTGTATAATTTCAATTGTATATAATTTTTTAAATGAACAAACTATATTTGTATTTCACCTGATGATTGCAACAGCATGAAACTTAAAGTTGTGAAAATCACGTAGTTTTTATTTTCTACTATATATATATTATAGCTCTGACTTTCTTGATAGTATATGCACAAAATAGCATCACTACATATATATATATATATATATATATATATATATATATATATATATATATATATATATATATATATATATATGTATATATTACAAGTTAAAAATACAAACTAACAAATATATTTATAACAAATATGGTTTAAAATCAAGTAAGAATAAAAAAAAAAATAACAAAAGATCATTTAGGAATGTTTTTTTCAAGAGTATTTTTTAAAATTGTTGCTTTGCAACAAGAGTGTTTTAGAAATTTGTTTGCTGTTGCTTTGCATTCTAACTATTTGTACTTAAATTTAAAGAACATCTACTGGAATCGAATTTTCTAAATCTCTAATTTCAACATTTAATCTATGAGTGTTACATAATTCCTTTACATCGTCTAAAAAAGTGTGTTTAACTGAACAATAATTAAGCTAAGAATTAATGGTTTCAAAAATTACCCTATTGTTTAAAATCCATAAATAAAAAAATAGGATAAATATTACTTTGCTGTGAGATGTAAGTTGATATATAAACTTTAAAGAGAGAGTGTATATAATTTTTACTATCCTTTTAACATATGAACTTTAAATAGAGAGTGTATATGATTTCAGACATTAAAAAATGATTTAACTACATTCTTTCCAAGTTTGTAAAGTCCTTTCATTGATTCCAGATTCCAGATTGAATCAGAGTTTGCACTGTTGTTTGAAAATTTGATTTCCTAGTATCAATATTTATTCTATCAAGTGTGGCAAAGGTTGATTTTTTTGTGTCTCAAGTAAAGCCCAGATAACAAGGTTTATAATGTGGTATTATTTGATGGTTGTATAGGATTATCGTGCAGTTATTTTTTTATTTTTTCCGAAGATTTGTTTTGACAGCATTAAGCTTTTAAAATGGTTATATATATTGCATGTTGAAATAAGTCTATCTAGACCAGATAGAATTGAGCTGAGAAGAATGATGCCATCAACATGAGCTACAACACAATTATGCTTCCATATATAATAGTACCAACACTGTCTATATTTTTTATAGTTGCGAAGTGTTATTGTTTTGGGCAGCTTTGACAGCTTTGCAAAAATTCTTCCGAGATAGTGAATTAGAAAATATTTACACATTAATTGAAATAAAAAAAATCCCTTGATCCAGCAAGCTACTTTGCCACATGGACAGAAAAAATTAGGCTAAATTTTTAACAAATTATTTTTGTTTAGATATGATAAGATAAGACATCAGCAAACAATGCCACCTCATATGTGAGAATTTCTGGAGGATCGTTAATGTAAATTAAAAAAAGTAGAGGGCTAAGGATAGAAACTTGAAGTTACAGGATATGAAGAAGATTACTGTCCATCAAGTACAACTTTTATACTACCATTGGTAAGGAAGGATTCAATAATCTTAAAGATGTTACCAGATACCTCGTAAGAAGAAAACTTATGGAGAAGACCAGCATGCCAAACTTTATCAAAAGCTTTAGAAATGTCAAGAGTGATAGCCTTAACATCTACACCTCTATCTAATGCACGGTAAAACCTATTGGTTATTACTGTTAGCAAATTAGCTGCAGAACGAGAAGATCGAAATCCATATTGATGATCAAAAAGTTAATAGATTCAAGATGAGAGATTAAGTGTTTGTTAATAAAAGATTCAAAAACCTTTCTCATAATAGAAAGAAGACTAATGGGGCGGTAGTTAGACAAATCAAATTGCTCTCTAGAATTTTTGAAAATAGAGATAACAGAAGCCGCTTTCCAGCAGAGTGGACTCTGATAAACACTTCTTAAATAGTTTTGAAAGTATAGACAACAGCTTCGGAGAAAACTTCTGCAAGACTATAACAGGTATGTTGTCCAGACCACAAGCTGTAAAAGAGTCTAAGCAGGAAATCACTTTAGAAACAGAAGTTGGAGTATTACGAATGTCAAGCAATGGATCAACCTGTTTGTTGGCTATATTAGGTAGAATGCAACCAGTGGAATCAAGAGATGATATTGATGAAAAGTTCTTAGCAAACAATTCAGCTTTGTCTTTAGGTGAGGTGACAAAATCTGAACTATACAAGAGAGGTGGAATAACAGATTTGCCCTTATTATTGATACTGTTAAAGACTCTCCAGAAGTCACGATAATCTAATTTTTGAGATGAAATACAAGTTTTCATGACCTGAGAATAGTTGGCTTTGGCATTAGACTTTTTACAATGGTTTCTAGCAATATTAAATAGAGGCCTGTTTACTGGAGAATTGTTTTGCTGATAGATATGGAAGTAATGATTTTGATTGGAAATTGCAGCTGCACAATGTGAGGAAAACCATGGAGAAGAGCGAGGCTTGACTTGAATTCGTGGAGAGGGAATAAAAGATTCCATGCAAGCCTGAATCCACAAAGTTATGTAAAAAGCACATTTGTCAGCAGGAATATGAAAGATTTTTACCTATGGGTCATCGCAAAGAAAATCATGGAAAGAGTCCCAGTCAGCTTTAAGGTAGTTGTAAGAGGTATGATGATAGTGGGGTTCTGATGATGAAAAAGAATGAGATAAAAGTTTTAGAAATATCAAACCATAATCAGAAGCACCTAAGGGTAAATGTGGAGAAACTGAGTACTGACTAGGATTAGAAACAAGGTATAAGTTGAAAAGAGAAGGTAAATGATTCGGGTTGTCTGGAAAGCGAGCTGGAAAGTTGACTATTTGAGTTAGAGGTTAAGAAAGGCAAAAGTTGTGGGCTTTAACGCCTGCAGAACTATTGACACTAGAGCCAAGCCATTCAGTGTGATGAGCATTAAAGTTACCAACAACAACAATATTGGCTGATGGATAAAGAGAGAGGGCTAGGTCAATTTGATCAGAAAAAACATTAAAAACAGTGCAGTCTTGAGATGAAGGAGAGCAATATAGAACAAAGAGAAAGGCGATAGAGTGAAGTGGTACAAAACGAAAGCACAAAAAAGAAAAGTTGGTTGATTTAAACCTTATTTCTTTACAAATGGGTGAATTCTTACAAATGTAAATGCCCAGGCAAAGCATATGACTATTGGAGTCTTTACGAATTAAACAAAGATAACCATTAAAAAGATAGCCCAAGCAATTGCCTCATTACTATTAATAAACCTAAGCCATAACAAAGGGCTCAAAATGTGGCCTCGACAATACACACCAAAAGTATGAACAGAGACACCATCCATAGGCAACATGGCACTGTTAGTACTCAGATATTATACAGCTGTTGATGGAATTAGCCTCTCTGAGAGTTACCACAGAGTTCGAGAAACCTGACTAGCTGGCCTCAGAACCATAAAACTGAGTTTTAGAGCTGTATCCTCATTAGGAGATAATAGAATGAGTTGCCTAGTCATAAAAACAGAGACAAAAGGAAAACCCATGCATTGAGTCAAGAAGTTCTAGCATTCAACATCCTAAACTGGAAACAATGTATTATAAATACATCTGTGCCAGCCTAACAGATGACTTGTATAGAAAACTCACTTAAGACTGTTTTTAATTAGAATTCTAACTCTTGAATCAATGCACATGATTAGACAAATGAGGTTCTCTACAAATTATGGTGCCTTGTGAGACAAAGTTATCAAAAAAAAATCAACATATATGCTTAAATTGCTCTATTAAGATGTAGCTCATTATATGCACTGTGGATTTAATCCAGCAGAGTCAAGCAGAATATTATTTTAATCAATAATTTTCTTAAATATTTTTATCAAAAATCTTCTTAAACATTACTATTTTCTTAAACATTATTACTTATCAACAATTTTGTCAATCATAACACAAAAATTGAATCAACAACTCTGATGTAAAATATAAAAAGAAAAATTATAAAAAAAAGTTAGATAACATAC